ACTCAACTTGGGGAAAATTAACTTAATTTACTGCCAATCAACCAGAGTAGGGTAGTGAGAAATAAAACCAAATTTCAAAACACCTTCCCTCCACCCCTCCCTTCTTCCTCTTCTTCCCAGGCACAGCTTCACTCCCAGATTCTCTACCTAACGCCCCCACAGCAACGCAGGGGGATAGGGATGGGGGTTACGAACAGTTCATCATACCTTGTCTCTGCCGCTTCATCCTCCTCAGGGGCAGGACTCATCACACTCTTCCCCTCCATGCTCCAGCATGGGGTCCTCCCACGGGAGACAGTCCTCCACAAACTTCTTCAACGTGGGTCCTTCCCACAGGCTGCAGTTCTTCACAAACTTCTCTGGCATGGGTCCCTTCTACAGGCTGCAGTCCTTCAGGAGCACACTGCTCCAGCATGGGTCCCCCATGGGGTCACAAGTCCTGCCAGAAAACCTGCTCTGCGGTCTCCTCTTTCCACAGATCCGCAGGTCCTGCCAGGAGCCTGCTCCAGCACAGGCTTCCCACGGGGTTGCAGCCTCCTTCAGGCACCCACCTGCTCTGGTGTGGGGTCCTCCCCGGGCTGCAGGTGGATATCTGCTCCACTGTGGACCTCCATGGGCTGCAGGGGGACAGCCTGCCTCACCGTGGTCTTCCCCACGGGCTGCAGGGGAATCTCTGCTCCGGTGCCTCGATCACCTCCTCCCCCTCCTTCTTCACTGACCTGGGGGTCTGCAGGGCTGTTTCTCTTACATGTTCGCACTCCTCTCTCTGGCTGCTGTTTCTGTGCCCGCTGCAACTTTTTTTCCCTTCTTAAAGATGTTATCACAGAGGCGCTACCACTATCGCTGATGGGCTCGGCCTTGGCCAGCAGTGGGTCCATCAATCCATCAGGCTGGTATTGGCTCTGTCGGACACAGGGGAAACTTCCAGCAGCTTCACGCAGAAGCCACCCCTGTAACGCCCCCACTGTCAAAACCTTGCCACACAAACCCAGTACAAACGTATTGTGCTACTGTCTTATCATTAGAGCAGAAAGGAAATATAACATGTAGTTTTATTGGCCTTGTTCATGTACAACAACCTGGTGCATCAAGTCTTAAGTTGTATTTCAATGGAGCCTAGCTAACTGAAATGCATGGCTTGCTTATAATATTTCATTTTATTAAAACACAGAAATCTTAAGAAAGTTGTCATGAAGTTAATACTCTGTACTTACCTTAAATCTGGTTAAAGTCAGGCAAAGGTAACTCTTGTCTTTCATTCTTCCATCCCTTGGTCTCTAGCCAGTGAAAGGACACACTGGACCTAGATTGTTTTAATTATGACAGCCACCAAAAAGGCTGTTCTGCAATTGGACATTGTGAAGTACAAGGGCCACACTGGCTTCTCTGTCACTTTTAGCAGGAATACTTGAGTAGTTAATTATGCCGCTTTTTTATCTTTCTTCTACTATGAACTGGTTTAAAATACCTATAGTAGGAACCAGGACATGCACAATGACTTGAGTATTTCTAGTTCCTCCCCATACCCAATAAATCCTCTGTGTTACCACAGGCTCCTTCCCATGTCTCTGGATCAACAGCAGGGCCAGAAACAGTATTATGAGTCTCATTTTAAATTTTGTGTGTGGGACAGACTAGCCAGTATGTTGGTACTGATAAAGTGGCAGGATATCAAACAAGCAGAAACTATACCCTTCTTCTACCCCTTCCAACATCTCTTTAGTACAGTCCCTCTCATCTACCTGGCTTCCTGCTGTTTGTCACAAGATTTGAACTTTGTTATCTTTTGGAGACTTCCACCTTTCAGTCAGATTTGACTGCAGCTGACCAACAGGTTGAAACTGTTAGGAAAAGAATAGCAGAGGGCTATGCATCCATGCAGACATCAGAATCACACAGCATCGTGTCAGGAGGAAAGCAGGCCAGGATTCAATTGATACCATAAGAAATGCTGATAGGTATCTTTTGTGAATGAGCTACAGAACCACGAAACCTATGGTTCTCTGGATTCAAAGAAGCTGCTGTATTTGCAGTGTCTATTTAGACTTCTATTTTTTTTTTTTTTTGTGCATTAAATGTAAAATTGAGAAAGTTAAATGGGCCCATTTTGTTTAGATAATTGTACATCTTGTAAATGTTTGCCACATATGACCATATAAAGCGTACAGCTTATATGGTGCAAATATATTGTAAATGTATTTTTATTACTGTACTGTTTAACCTCTTTTTGACTGGAATATTTATTCTGTTTCTTTCTACATAAGGAAGTATTATTAAACGATTTTAACAATTTCTACCAGCAGCTTTTACTCTGACCTGTCAAGTTTCATGTTTTCAATATGAGGCTTAAGAATTTGGCTCATGTCCTTTTCCCCAGCCACATCAACTGTAACTAACACATTTACAACCTAGCACTACAGCATCTTGCCTGGTGTAGCTGTGGCTGGCAAGCAGATCCCCAAAGCTGGAGGTAACCTATAGGACTTATGTCTCTGTACTCATGAAGGCTGAACTGGAAGACATAGACCCATGTACCTACTTTCATGTTAGCTGAGAGGCTGGGTTTTACTGTGAGAGTGTGGATATACAGTGACTGTTGCAAGTATAAGCATTAAGCTATAAATCAGTGAAGTGTAACTAAATACAGCCTATAACTACAACAGAATCTGCTCTGAACATTATGCAGAAAATAATACTTGAGAAAAATAGCAGGTATTTAACTGGACTGTGTGGGTAGGGCTTTTCATAAGGGAAGCAACCGTTGAATGTGCACATACAAATCTTTCAGCACAAGGAAATCTAGACATAGTACTGAAGTGTTAGTACTTGCAAGATCACAAGACAAGGTCCCATGAAAATCATCAAATTGGCATAAGCACTGGAATAATAGATGATGGACTTGTAATGGGTATAAACTTCTGGTGTTCAGCCCAGTTGCATTTTCAAGTTTTCCTCTGCAACGATGAGGATTAGAAAATGACCTTTAAAAGATATTAAGTTTTTAAAAAGTGGAAGTAGTCTGACATAATGCTAGAGCTGATGTAACGCAGCAACATTGCTGTGCTGACTTAGACAAGTGGCTGGGAAAGCAGCTCTCTGTGGAAGACACTGTCAAGTGATTTTGTTTGTTTGGGAAAACGGGGGGGGGGGGGGGGGGCAGGAGTATGTGCATACCTAAGAGGCAGACGGAGAGGGTCATCTGGATGAGGAAAATGCCTGAGAGATGACCATGTGTCCCCATGAGCAGGAGATGCATATGGGGACCATAAATAAAATTACCAACTCTGAGTTTGTCTCGAGACTGTGCTTTTCTAAATGCTCTGTAAGCTTTAGAAATTGGGTGAAAATTTTAACTGTCATTGTTTAATAAAAAAGTACCTAGGGCTTGCAGTCAAGGTGATAGGATTGCAGCACAAGTAGAGATTGCCACTGTACTTTGTTGGGGTACTCACAGCTGTAAATGAATGTGCAGTCTTGCCATGACAGCTGGCCACACAAGTCATAGAATCATAGAACCACAGAATGGTTTGGGTTGGACGGGATCTTTAAACATCAGCTAGCCTACTTCCCCTGCCATGGACAGGGATATCTTCCACTAGATCTGGTTGCTCAAAGCTCTGTCCAACCTGACCTTGAACACTTGCAGTGATGGGGCACCCACAACTTCCCTGGGCAACCTGTTCCACCCTCATGTGTAAAAAAATTTCTTCCTTACATCCAATCTAAACCTATCTTCTTTCAGCCTAAAACCATTGCCCCTTGTTCTGTCACTACAGGCCCAGGTAGAAAGCCTGAACCCATCTTTCTTATAAGCCTCTTTTAAGTATTTAAAGGCCAAAATAAGGTCTACATGGAGCCTTCTGTTCTCCAGACTGAACAACCCCAACTCTTTCAGCCTCCCTCCATAGGAGAGGTGTTCCATCTTTCTGGTAATTTTTGTGGCCTTCCTCTGGACCTGCTCTAACAGGTCCATGTCTTCCCTGTGCTGAGGACCCCAGAGCTGGATGCAGTACTCCAGGTGGGGTCTCACCAGAGCAGAGCAGAGGGGCAGAATCACCTCCATTGACCTGCTGGCCATGCTTCTTTTGATGCAGTCTCATATACAATTTGCCTTCTGGGATTCAAGCACACGTTGCCAGCCCATGTCCAATTGCCCAGTCCTTCTCCCCAGTGCTGCTCTCAATCCATTCACTCCCAGAGAAGTCCAGGAAGACCTTGGCTATGTGCTTGTGTTGCCTACTCAGGATGAAATCCAGGGTACTGTACCTTTGCTACCTAGCCCTTAGCCTCATTTTTATGATTTTTGACACGGGTGTCAGCCACCTTCTGTGGAGCCCCTGCAGCTCTCTGCTGCTGCTGGCATGGGGGTGAATGGGGCGTGTGGGGAGAGGAGCCGGGCCTGGGGAGTGTAGCCTGGGAGGCCTGGGGGGGTCCAGAGGGAAGGTTGCCTGTGAGGAGCCTGTCCGTGCCTGTGGGTCAGAGGGAGAGGTACTGCTGAGGAGGGAAGAGAGCTCCCGGGGGGGCGGCTGCTGCCTGAGGGGCTGGTGGCCCTTCGCACTTGTGCCTCTTTGAGGGAGGTGGTGGCGGTGGGTTGGGAGAAAGGGTGCATCTGAGGAGGGCAAATGTCCCCCCCGTCCCCGTCCCCAGGGCGGTCACTGCGGGAGGCTGGGCCTGGGCACGAAGCCTGCCTGCGTGCCTCTGCAATGGAGAGCCGCGCGGGATCAGGGAGCCGGCAGGGAGAAGTGTCCCTCTGCCTGCGAGCCCGGGACAGGCGGAGGGCGGGGACCGGGGCTGAGAGGCAGGGTGGGGCCGGGCGGCCATTTTACTGCCGCCTCCATCACACCCGCGGCCACGGGCCCCAGACGGCGCCGCCGTTGCCAGGGTGACCGGCCATTGGCGCCCCCTCCCTCCCCCCTGCGCCGAGCCCCGCCCCGCGGCCGCCCCCCGGCCAATCGGAGGGGCGGTGGCGGCGGAGCGAGGTTCCCTTTGTTCAGCCATTTCAGGGGCCGGAGCGGGCTCGGGCGCGGAGCTGCGGAGGGAGAGGACGGGCCGCTCCCTCGCCACTCCCCTGCCGCCGGGCTCTGGGATGGTGTGGGTAGGTGTCCGGGCTGCGAAGGGCGGGCTGGGACGTCCCATCCCCGGCAGCCGCGGCCCGCCCGCG